CAACACCGGCGCTGCTAGATCGGATACGAGGTGAACCGCCCATCTTCGATCGGGGGATCTGCCTCGCTCGTGTCGTCGTGAGGGCTAGGGCTGATTGCCCGTGTCGCCCATGTCGCACGAGACATCTCCCCAGCAAGATTTATTTTTTTTGAAACGGAGGCAAAAGATTTGCCTCTTCAATTAAATAAGGGAGAGAAGAGTTTAGAGTTTTACAACGCACTCCCAAATAAGCGGCATCACAATTACTCGTACAATATGATGTTCCCTAGCTTTCTTGCGCCAGCAGTAACCCAAAGTTTAGCATCTTCTAAAATGCTGGTTAGGAGGACCGGCGGTGGTGCGCTTTTTCGACGAAATACGCGGGCGTTTCTCTCATTCCAAATGGTCCAAGAAACGAGCATGGTGAGGGAAGCCATTGCGTGGCGGTGAGGGTTGCGGTCGTCGGTTCTTTTTTGCCACCACTCAGTGACGGTTGCTTCTAACTGCCAATCGGAGGTGTCCATGTGCGTGAGCCCAAGCTTCTCGATGATTGATCTCCAGAGCCTAAGTGTGTAGCGACACTTGACAAAGAGGTGTATCCCCGTTTCTTGTTCTCTTTTGCAAAGCGGGCAAGGGCCACAGTTTGGCCAACCACGCTTCTCCAAACGATCGGCAGTCCAAATCCTATCTTGCAAGGCCAGCCAAGCAAAGAATTTAACCTTTGGAGGTGCCCAAGTCTTCCACACCATGCGGTCCATGGGGGACAGAGTCGGGCCTAGAAATTGCGCTTTGTAGGCGGTGCTCGCCGTGTAGATCCCATTGCTCGCGTGCTTCCAAATGATGTTGTCTTCGGCTTGATCATCAAGGTGGAAGTCATGCACAAGCATCCAAAGGTTAAAGAATTCTGAAATGTGGTTGATGGAGATGGCTGTGTCATGTTTGATCTTGAGGATCCAAGCGTTCCCCTTCAGAGCCTCACGCACCTTCCAAATCTTTCTCTTCGATGCCTCATAGATTAGTGGTGCAATGTCCTTGGGCTTGCACCCCAAGAGCCAAGGGGAGTCCCAGAAAGGTGTTTTTGCGCCGTCGCCGACAGTGATAGTCGTAGATGCATAGAAGAACTGGAGGTCCTCTTCAGTGCAGGGGTTGCCAGAGCCAACCCATAATCTGCGGGGCTCCTTCCATTCATACCATAGCCAACGAAGCCGCAACGCCCGTGCAAACTTGTCGGTATCGAGCACCCCAAGGCCACCATAATCTTTTGGTCTACACACCATTTTCCAGTTGACCTTGCATTTGGCTCCCGTGGTCTTCTCCGCACCCGACCAAAGGAAGGCCCTCTCAATCTTGTTGAGTGTATCCAGAATGCCCTGCGGCACAATGAGAGGTGTGATAGAGAAAACCGCTTGGGAGGAGATGACGGACTTGACGAGAGTCGTGCGTCCGATAGCAGTGATGTTTTGCCCATCCCAAGTGGTTAATTTTCCGGCTGCCTTGTCCACCAGGTATTGGAAATCCATCGTCTTTAGCTGCCAAACCGAGAGAGGTAAGCCTAGGTATTTCATCGGGAAGGAAGCACAAATCACCGGCATATTCCGAAGAATGCGCTCAAGGTCAAGATGGTTGCAACGAATTGGCACGACCGAGCTTTTTTGGAAGTTGGTGCGGAGGCCCGTCACATCACCAAAGCCTCGTAAGATCGCAGCTAGGTTTTCAATGTCCCTCTTGATGGGCGCCACAAAGACCACAGCATCATCCGCATACAGGGAGGTTCTCATCACAGCTCCCCGGCCACGAAGCTTATGGAGGAGCCCTTTCCGCGTGGCGAGGTCCAAAATCTTATGTAAAGGGTCAATCGCAAGGACAAACAGGAGGGGGGAAAGGGGGTCCCCCTGCCTGAACCCGCTCCCGTGCTTGATCGGAGGGCCGGGCACCCCGTTTAGCATGATTCCCGATGAAGATGAGGAAAGAAGTGCCGCAATCCATGCCCGAAATTTAGGCGGGAACCCTAGCCGTTGCAGGAGCTCAAGAAAATATCCCCACTTGACCGAATCAAAGGCCTTCTTTATGTCAAGCTTGAGAAGGAGGGCAGAGGTTCTTCTCTTGTGTAGGCGCCGGGCAAAATTCCGAACGTACATGAAATTGTCATGGATGCTTCTTCCCTTAATGAAGGCGCTTTGAGCATTGGAGACAAGTTCATCCATGTGGGGAGCAAGCCTGAGTGAGAGAACTTTGGCAATGATTTTGGCGATGGCATGAATAAGGCTAATGGGTCTGTAGTCAGGAATGCCTTCTGCACCATCCTTTTTCGGTAGGAGTATAACATTGGCGGAGTTGACCCACTGCAAATTGGAGGTGTGCAAAGAGTCAAAATGCTGCACAACCCTCATGACTGTATGCTTGATGATTCCCCAACATTTCTTGAAAAACATCCCCGTGAAGCCATCCGGTCCAGGCGCCTTATCACTAGGCATCTCTTTAATGGCAATCCAGACCTCGTCTTCTGTGATGCTATCATCAAGGTCTTGCAAATCATGAGGCTCGGTGCCAAGCTCCTCCCAATTGAAATCTTTGTTGCTCGTACCTCTCCTCCCCATAACCTCAGAGAAGTGGTCATGTACGATCTTCTCTTTTTCTTCATGCTCGGTCACCCAGCAAGATTTATAATGGTTCAAGTCGGCTCCATCGATGGTGCTGGCCAATAGACGGACACGCAGTGCTGCACATTGGACGGGCGGTGAATCGCAGGAACTTCCATTTCACTCGCCTTTCGTCAGTGCGCCGCTGCTGCAAATCCATACTACTACCGCTCATTGCCTGTCTCAACTTGCAGGCATCTTTGGAGTGGATTCCCAACCCCCACTCGCCCCATGGCTGTGCTTATTACTGTAATCAGTAGCACTAGTAGTAGTATAATCTCACGAGAGCCAGGATGCTAATAGACAGACACAGACACACAGACAGATGGACTGGTAGAAGTACCTTGAGGACCAGGTTGGCGTCGGGGACCGAAACATTCCATTTCGCTGCGGAGTTGGCAAGGCACCGTGAGAATAATTTGATTAGGCTAGCAGTAGCAGTATGGATTAGGCCTGGTATATCTAAGCACTTTTAGCCGCCTCGGAAATGCGAACCAGTGGCTGCAAACAGAACAGTGCAGCCTTTCCCTCGCAGCAGTGCGAGACGCCATGATTGAGCTTCTTGTTTATGCCCCCTCCCGTGTGCACTCCGCAGCACACATCATAGACAAGCACACGCAGTTTTTGTTACTTTGTCCCGCTACAAAATTCTGCCTTTTGCAGTACGGGCTAGCGCCACCTTTTTCAGTGACCCTGCTCCTTGCGCCCCTCCCGGCGGTATACAACATACGCATTTCAGCCTCACGCCGCCACTCGATGGTGATTTCGGCGCGTACCATTCGATTACCTACGCTCGCTTTTCTGCTTGTAGCGGGCAGACCAAAGGCACTATCCGTGTGAGAAACGAGGCGTGCATTTGTGCGTCTTTTTCTCTTTTGCTAAAGTCTGAATCTGGAGTAGCAAGCAAGGGCAAGGTGCCGCGCTGGAGTATGTTGTAAAAAATCAAGGTGCAGCGTTGTCTCTGTCAGTTTGAGCACGGGAAAGCGGCGACCGTCCCGATTCGTCCGTAGCGCTGTAAAAGTGGCGGTTAGGTGCCAGTTAGACGAGCTAATGAACAACAAAAGTTCCGAACCGCTCCAACGATCGGGACTCTCACCTAATCCCTCCACGGGAGGAAGGAAACAACCAGTTCCACGATCAAGCTGGGCTACTACTACTACTCAAAACTCCCGGGACTTGGGCAACAGCAACGTCCAGCACGCCGTGCACGCGTGACAGCAGCCGAAAGCGCCGCCCGGCCGTGCCGATCGAGTGCTCGGCCGCTCCGACCGCGCGGGTGGGCGTCGCCGTCAGGAACGGATTATGAGACCCGCACCCCGCCGGCAGGTCGCCGTCGCCACCGACCGCACGCAATTGTGGCAGCATCGCCATATACGCACGACGAGCGGGCGGGCGGGCGGCACGAGCTATACGCGACCCCGTGGCTCGCCACGTCGCCGTCTCCATATCCTTCGGGATACGAGAGGACGAAAAGTGCGCCTACGTAGTACAGGAGGTAGACGCGGACTGTAGACCGACCGCTCGACCATGTCGTCACGGCGTATCCACGGTCCGCGGCGACGTTTCACTCGGCGGATGGAAGCGAGCTCCGCCACGGCGTCGGTTGTTCGGGGCCGTCGGTCGCCGACACGACTGGAGCACGGTGACTTGGCGGCGAGCCCGCCTAGAAGAGACGAGTTTCCGCCGGGGCCGAGGAGAAACGTCTGCATGCGGGCGTCGGCTGAAAGCCGCTCGTCCCGTGCTGGCTCGCCAGGCGCCTGCGCTGCACGGTCACTGCCTCACGCCTGTCGCGGTGGAGAGCAGGAGAGGGAGAGGGGGCTGGCATCCTCGCCATCAGCGCCGCACCGAGCTCGTTGTCAGTGCACGTCGTCGCAGCGGAAGAGTTCACGTGCTGGAAATGAATTCAGCATGGATGGATATCTGTGTGTGGATTAGTCGTGTTTTATAAACATTGACTGACAGCCCTGACGGGCAGACAGTTCAGGATGGGTGTACCCTGTGTACGTGCATGAGAGCGTCAGTCGAGAATTCAGACGAGTATTCTAGTATTCATGAATGAATTTCTCTGGTGGCAAGATTCCAGCAACAAGTGCTAACGACAGAAGGAGAAGCTGCGTAACGATATAATAATATAAAAATAAAAATACAGTTTCAAATTTGCAATGGCATATCCTGGCATTGAATTGCCACAAATGCACGATCAAATACTCTATCTTCAAGATAGAAAGTCATGGTGGACTCCTTGAGATCTGTACAGACGAGTTATTTGTTTCGAATTAAGCGTCTCATGTTAATCAAACAAGAAAAAACAATCTAATGATCAAATCGAAATGCTTCTCTGAGCATGAGCAGCTCAGAAAAATGCACGATCTTTACACAAGATTACTTCCTCGCCTTGGTGATGGACAGCTCTTCGAGCCAGTCCAGGATCCTGATGCGACGCCCGCCGCGGCCTCTCTTGACGTTCCCATCCGCGAGTCCGCTTTTCCTCGATGCCGGAGGCAGCTTGACGGACTCGACGACGTCCGGCGAGCACTTGCATCCGAAGCCGTCACCGAACAGCCCCGCGCCATGTTTCCTGAAGCTCCTCTCAATGGCGCTGGCGGCCTGCTCGAACCTAGCGCTCCTGCCGCTGCCGCCTCTCGACGCGGCGGTGATCTTGGCCCCATCGGCGCAGCGCGGCGGGTACACGTCCGGGGCGCCGACGACGCCGAGGCGTATGATGCCCCACCCGGCGGGCGGCGGGGCCGACCCCGTGCTCCGGCGCGGCCGCGAGCGCAGCTGCGGCGACGGGCTCGGGTGCGCGTAGAACAGGCTGCTCGACAGGGACCTCCGCGGCGGCGCGGCGGCGTGGTCGGAGGAGGCGCTCTTGGACGAGTGGCTGCGGCTGACGCAGCCGCTGCTGCTGCCGCTGGAACTCGCGCTCCGGCAGTCGGAGCGCGAGCCGAAGCCCGCGGTGGACGCGACGGACTCGGACCGCGGAAGCAGGACAACGGTGGGGGCGTCGGCGGAGGCGGTTGACGAGGGGCGGAGCGGGAGGAGCTTGCCGTGGGAGAAGAGCTCGTCGGCCACGCACATGTCGTCGGCCGCGGCCGCGCCGGCCGAGACAAGGCCGCCGGTGGACAGGACGCGGAACTCGAAGTCGTCGGCCGCCTCGGGTGTGGAGCTGTCGGTGGCTTCGCGGGGCTCGTGAGGGGCGTCTGCCATGGTCGGGGTTCTTTCCTTGGTCCAAGGGGAAGGAGTGGGGAAGAAGAAGAAGAGATGGTCGCGGGGTTTTGTTGCGTTCTGGTCTTCTTCTTTTTGGCCTGTTCGGTTTTCACTCCGAAGAACGGGAAGAGGACGGGAATAGAAACAGAGGAGAGGCTGTTTTTTTTTTTGCGGGTCAGAGGAGGGGCTGTGGCTACGGTGCTGGGGCCCTGGGATGTCAGTACCATGCGCAGTGCTTAAATAGCGCATTGGTCGTCGATGCGCAAAACTTGCTGGTCAACGGTACCAGCCGGTTGCCCCTAATTTTGGAGGGAATTTATGACGCTACCGCTGGGGCAATTATCCCGACGTTGCCAAAAGGAAGCTCAAATTGGCTCGACCACCCCGTTGTTGCGTAGCGCATGCCTCGCGTACACAAGAACCGAGTCAAACTACTATGAGAAAATATATTTAATCTTTGGAAAAACACATTTTACTCATTACTCCACGTGTATAAATGCACAGTTTCTCTTTTTCTGTCATCGTACATCGAACAGGCCAAAAACTAAACAACAATTTGTTTAAATAAGTTTTGCGGGAAAAAATCAGATGCAGTACAAAGAACACAAGTACAACTAGATTAGCGAACCGAAAGCGCGCCGCCCTCATCGATCCTCTCTCACCAGGTTCAGGTTAAATTTGTTGTAGTAGTCAGTCAGGAACTCGTCGAGTTGAGGCCCCACATGACCAATTCATCAGAACAACAACTATTGCTCATGAAAAGAAGTGTAGATCGAAAGGATCTAACCTGTATACACAAATGAAGACAAATAAAGACTGGATCCAAACCAATCCACCCAAGACCGTCACACCGAAGACACATCTTCACATGCCCTCTAACGACGCTCGATGCATCGTCAGGACAGGTACTAAACGAGGAGAACTTTGTTTCATCTTTAGAGAGTCGTCGTCGTTGCCTTGCCTTCCTAAACAGTACACAAAAATCTAAACGAACTCAAAAGAACACCTAGAACCAAAGCAAGGGCCATCCCGCCGCCGCGAGCCGGGGTACACGAGGCGGACCGACAACAGTGCCGACGGGAGACATAGGAACGCTAGACTTTTTTCTTGGGAGAGGAGGCAACGGCTGCATGGAATAGATCGTAGGGAAACGAAACAACAAATAACCGTGTCCAAAGCTTATCATCAAGCATTCATGAATCATGGCTGGTCAATGTACATAAGTAGCCATTTGATTTGTGCGATCTGATTTGTGATTTACCATATTAGTAGTGCTACATATCGCCATAATAGTTATTACTAACCCCGTTCCACAATGGAGTGTATATTATTTAAAAATAAAGTTAAACATGCCTATGTTTGACCAAGTTTATAGAATAAACTATCAACATCTAAAGTACTAAAAAATAAAATATAAAAGTACAGCCCATTAGGAATGTAATGATACAAATGTTGCGTTGTGGATGGCGGTATTCTTTTCCTTAAACTTGATCAAGCATAGACATATGTGACTTTTATTATTGGAAAACAAAATATCCACTGTATTTTGGAATGAATGAAGTATTATACAACACCAATCATATGAGTGGCATCATATATATGTATTTATAGTAGTTGTGGGTGGTAATTCTCTTTTTCACCTATATTTCAATGACAAATTTTTGACTTGATTTCTGCCGCATGAATTGATGGTTAGATATCGGCTTAATAGTTACTTAAATATGTTTATATGAGGTAAATTTTACATATCCAGTGGCCTAGTATAAATCAACATACATAATTACATGATTTACTGGATGGGCATTACAAATCAAGATAAATAATGACATAAATATGATTGGACAAATAAATAGATTGTTTCAGACATCTACGACAATATGTAGTAGTTGTACACAAGTAATTTCATGGGAGACAATTTTCCCACTTCTCTCATGCCATGTTCGACTAGCGCTACAATTAAGCATGTAATTTAGATCAAGACGAATCATATGACTAAGTGTATATGCAATTATGTGCTACATTTGACAATGATGAAAGGCAATTATCTCCTTTTAATCTTCGTACGGTGATCGGCATTCTTGATTGGTCAATGCACCAAATGTGGTTGTTGGTTCCCATCGCGTGGTTTACTCGATGAACGTTACATATTACCATAAATAACTACTCAAATATGATATTATAAAGGCCCAAATTGTATATCAATAGTGTGCGTAGCTACTGGGCATAACGTGATGATACCTCACACCAAGTTGCGAGAGTGTCTTACAATATATTTCAATGAAAATTATTTGGAGTAATAATGTAAGAACTAGAACTGAAAATACATATGATATATTACCCTTGACTATTTTATAGATGTAAAATATTTATTAAATATAAATAACATAACAGAATGAAAATTCTAATGCATGTTTGCATGTTGAGGTGGGATTTTTTCTATGCATGGTTGCATGTTGTGTGGTGGGGTTTTTAATGCATGTAGCATGTTGAGGTGGCAAGTTTGCATGTCGAGAGAAATAGATTAATGGATGCTAGCTATTTAGATATAGAATATTACCACTTTCCACAATCTCTTTTGTTGAAAGAATGGGCCTCCTCATTGATTTTAATTAAAAAATATACAAGTTCAGATATACGAATCGTAAGAAGTCGAAAAAGGTTTTGCGTGTGATAAACTAGAACCAAGTAAGCATGCAAGGTCTTAGTCCCTCTCTAGAGCAATGAGAAGAGTATAAGCATTATGTATGAACATTCATGTAGAGGTGCTAACATCACCTACAACTTTATTTCATTACAAGCCACAAAGACTAAGTTGGCTCAGAAAGCTTCAAAAGCTAAATAGAGACATGAAATTGTTAGGATGCTCAACCTAGACCAGATGCAATTCTAGTGATTGTGCGTGCCCATCCATGGATTTTGTTGTAGATCTCCACCATCATCTTCTTGATTCTTGCAACTCCTTTTTCAATGCTTCTTTGTCCTATCCTTGTCTACAGAATAGCCAAACTATTAAGACAATGACATAGACTGCAATTGAGAGTAGCAAGATTTTTAGGATATTTTTTATCGAAGCATGGAACACATGTTTTTTTTCATATTTCCAGCACAAAGAAACTCCGCCCGTTAGGGCTACTTTGCACTTGTTTAAATAGGATTGTTAGACAACTCATGTCAACAAGGTGCACCTTCTTTTTTGAAAGCTCGTCTCCAATGAACCTATGGGTTAATCATACTTGGAATGGGTTAATTTGAGGATGGCTCGTCGTACAAGAAGTTCTCCACGTATGCACACGAGTGAGGATAAAGTGCGAATAAAAGACAAGTGTTGGTCTATGGGGTCAGTCTAGATCGCAAGTGATAGTGAGGCATCACGTCCGCCAGCCTGGGTGAGAGACTGGGGTGTTATAGCTGACGACAAGGGAAAAAAAGATAGAGCCACTCCCCTACCAGATCATCAACATTTTCAATGGGCCTAACCAGGTTCAGTGCACCTCATGACAACTCTCCAATAGAATTTGTCCAGTCCGCACTCAAAGTGCAAATGTGTTGTTGTCTTCGTCCAACCACGGAAATAACATTGATCATTCCTAGTTCAGACTCTCTTGAACAGGTTGTCTCACTACCTCCGTCCGGGTTTATTAGCCCCCTTGTACTTTGGTTCAAACTTCGAGCTTTATTTTATCTACAAAAAATAAGTTATGTGCCACAAAAATAGTATCATTGGAAACCACTTTCAAATGAACCCAACAACATAAGTTTAATGACATACAACATATATTTTGTTAGTCAAATCTATGGTCAAAACTAGGCATAAAATACAAAGGGGACCAATAAATCCGGATGGAGGTACTATTATGAACATTAGCCACGAGAAGACTTGATTTTTAGGGGCATTTCTGCTTTCAACATCCCTCTATGTCTAACAAAGGTTGTTGATTTGATCCGTAGATACAATTCTTTAATAGTGAACCACTTCTTAGAACTTGATCTGCATTTGGTTGTCTTTGGCCTTAGTCAAGGATATGCATTGATAAATCTTTTAGTTCTTCCCATTACTTAGCAGTCTCACCCCATAGTGTTCTTCTTAATTGGACACAATCCCAACCTCCAGACTTAACTTGTTGCACAATAAGAATCTTTGTAAAGCCAATGGCATACAATCTGAAAATGTTCCTAATAAGAGCCACATCCTTAATCCAGACATACTTACATAAAAGAGTTTTTATTGTCATCACTGACGCACCTTTCTCATAAGTTTGGAAAATAGGATTAACCTTCATCAAGACTTGCCAAAAGTGGGAGCTCCCTCCTCTAGCAACTACACTTTCCACCTTCATTTCAACACACCTAGCCACCAATATGAGTGCAATTTTTCTTTTTGGATGTAGATAAAAACTTTGGGAAAACATGAAAAGGACTACTCTCACATTAAAATATTTCATGGGTGCATTGCCCCAGCAATGTCCCAAATTGACGATTATCCGCTAATTATCACAATGATAACAAAGTGGTTGAGATGAGTGATACGTCTCCAACGTATCTATAATTTTTGATTCTTCCATGCTATTATATTATCTATTTTGGATCTTTTATATGCATTAGTATGCTATTTTATATTATTTTTGGGACTAAGCTATTAACCTAGAGCCCAGTGCGAGTTCTTGTTTTTGAGTTTCGCAGAAAAGGAATACCAAAGGGAGTCCAAACAGAATAAAACTTTCGCGATGATTTTTGTTGGACCAAAAGACAACCAGGAGACTTGGAGATGAAGTCGGAGGAGCCACGAGGTGGCCACAAGGACGGAGGGCGCGCCCAGGGGGTAGGGCGCGTCCCCACCCTTGTGGGGCCCTCGTGCACCTCCTGACCTAATTCTTTCGCCTATATATATCCATATATCCCCAAACCAACATGGGCATCCATGAAAACACTTTTCCACAGCCGCAACCTTCTGTACCCGTGAGATCCCATCTAGGGGCCTTTTCCGGCGTCCTGTCGGAGGG